GGAGGGAAAGCAAGTGCCTGAGGGAAAGGGCACTGGTGAAACTTCCTTTTGAACTGAGTACCAAGTGTGTTATTTATTAACAATTTTAATTAACGGCATGGCGAAAGCTTTGGAATCAACATGGAAATCGATGGGACCCTGGGATCACTCCTCAGCTGTACAGATTAAAGCAGTGAGTCATTAAGGGATAAATAATTTGTCCAATTTCCCACTACTGTTAAGTGACAGAGCTATGATCAGACCCTCATCTGTCATTTGACACCAATGCTTGAGGGAATGCAGCTTCAAAACTCAACTTCTACATAGAACTTTACATCACAGAGGACAGGATTGCACCCCAGGGCAAGGAAGACATTTGAGACTCAGTGTGTTCCTCTATGAAATGTAAAGTTTCTGTAGGCTGGGGAGAGGTGGCTCATACCTGTAAAACTAGCACTCCGGGAGGCTGAAGTGAGAGAATTGCTTGAGCTCTGGAGTTAAAGATTAGCCTGAGCAACAGCAAGAAAAATTAGTTGAGCATTGTAATGGGTGCTTGTAGTTCCAATTACTCAGGAGGCTGAGGCAAGAGCATCACTTGAGCCCAAGAGTTTGAGGTTGCTGTGAGCTATGATGATGTCATGGCACTTTATCCAGGATGATAGAGAGACATCAAAAATAAATAAATAAAATAATTAGTTGTGAAGATCTGATTAGCATGTGTTTGTTCTAGGACCTAGCACATACAAAATAGTCAATAAATGCTAATTACTGTTCTTAGTTATTACTATTTTGAGCTATCTTGGAGTTCAGAGTTGGTTGGGTCAAGGAATGCTATGGTAGAGGTTGTCATAGAAGTCTGGAAATGAAAGCTTGAAGGGGTAAGGAAAATAAAACAGAGAGAGAGAGTGCGTGTGTGCCAGGGCTCAAGAGGGAAGACACCCCTGATTCCCTTTCATTTAAATAGCCACTAAAGAAACTAAGAGAATAAATGATACTTAAGATAGAAAACATATGTGAAGATATGTAAGAGGTGGATATTGAGGAGAGAACTTCTGGTCCCTTTAACTCTACCATGCCACCAAGAGCCACCTGTCACCAGGATTGTATCACACTGAAAAATAAAAGTATGCAACCCAGGACAATCTGGTATGCTTCTTCCCTTTTCTCTCTCATTCCTGATTGTCAAAATGCCCTGTTGCTAGCTTATTTCCTTTTCTATTTTCTCTTCTTCAAGGTCCACAGGTTAAGTGGTGACTCAGAGAGCTAAGTGTTCTTCTGGGGATGTCATTCACTTTCCTTAGAGAGGTACTGAAAATGTCCTGCTGTTCTGGGCAGCTTCGCTCGCTGTGCATCTGGGCTGAAGGGGCTTAGCAAGAGCCCCGGCAAAGCTGAGGTTTCTGGGAACCATTTCTTCCCTTCCCTCATGTGCCAGAAAGCTACCTCCTACTATAGGCTGAGGTTCTCTCTCTTGCTCACCATTTTCTGGCCAAACTTCATGATTTACAAGTATTTCATTCCTCCCTGATTGGAAAGAAAATGTACTTAGGAGGTTCTAAGCCTCTGCTTCTGCATCAGCCCTCGTTAGCTCTGTGATCCTGGGCAAGCTGTGTAACCTCTTTGCCCCAATGTCTCTCTGAAAAAATGGTGAGGACAAAATGAGATAGTCCAGGTAAAAGGCAGAGCACAGGGATTGGTTCTTAGTAAATTCTCACTGGCCTAAAATACTTGTAGTAGCAGCAGCTACAATGAAAATAGAAGTAATAAGCAAAAGAAATAAAGCGGGAGTGGAGTTAAGATGGCAGACTGCAGCCAGCTTCCCACAGAGGCTCTCGTCCAAAAGAAGACTTAAAGGACAGAAGTTTAGCAAGTAAACTGATGGTTTGGAGCTAAGCCAAGAGAGAAGAATGAAAAACGTACAATAACTTTGCTGAGGCGAGCTGTGACCCCCAAAATACAATCAAAAGGTATAAAATCCACCACCAGTAGCGGCGGAGGCCTCCACTCCCAGAGCCAAACATGCTGTGGTCAGCAGTGGAGGAGTCCACTGCTCCAGGCGGGCCCATAATTGCTTGCTAGAGGCACACACGCCCCATGGTGGGCAGCACAGGAGTCCCCCCACTGCAGGCAGGCCCAGAACTGCTTGCTAGAGCTGCGTGTGTCCCAGGGAGGGTGGCAGAGGAGTCCCCAGCTCTGGGCGGGCCCAGATCTGCTTGCTAGTGCGCATGTGTCCCATGGGCGGTGGCGGAGGAGTCTTCTGCTTCGGGTGGGCCCAGAGCTGCGTGCTAGAGCCACACTTGCCCACAGGGGCCAGTGGAGGAGTCCCCTGCCCCAGGCAGGCCCAGAATTGCTTGCTAGAGCCGCGCGTGTTCCACGGGCGCCTGTGGAGTAGTCCTCCATTCCAGGTGGGCCCAGAACTGCTTGCTAGAGCTGCGCGCCCCATGGGCAGTAGCAGAGGAATCCCCAGCTCTGTGTGGGCCAAGCACTGCTTGCTAGAGCTGCATGAGACCCACTGGAGGGGGTGGCAGAGGAGTCCCTTGCTCCAGGCAGGCCTAAAACTGTTTTCTGGAGCTGTGTGCATCCTGGGGGTGGCAGCGGAGGAGTTCCCTGCTCCAGGCTCCCACACTGGGCAGGCCCAGAACTGCTTGCTAAAGCCACACATGCCCTATGGGGGCCGGTAAAAGAGTCCCCTATTCTGAGCGGGCCCAGAACTGCTTGATAGAGCTGTGCGTCCTGTGAGTGGTGGCGGAGGCGTTCCCCACTCCAGGCACCCGTGCTGGGCAGGCCCAGAATTGCCAGAGTTGTACGCTCCCACATCCCTGGCCAGCTGCCCAGGAACTATGAGAAGATGGTCAGTTGAGAGGGAACCATACTAGAATATGGTACCCCAAGGTGAAGAACAGCAGCCACAGCACTGGGAACAACAAGGCTCACATCCCTCAGGCTCTTCTGGACAGACACGCTCTGCCTCTCTGGGCAACCAGAGGAAGTCGGCATCTTCTCCAGTGAAGGCCACTGACTGAAAGGTTCTTGTACAGTCTCCACATGGTGTAAATTCAGCATGGAGCGGAATCAGTGAA